GCTTTTTTTTTTTTTTTTTTTTTTTTTTTTTTTTTTTAGAGATATATGTTATTTTAAGGGTTTGTCTTTGATGCTTCTCAGATAAGTAGAAGTAAAAGTAAAGTTAGAATTGATATTACACCTCTTATTTGTTTGTAAATTAGTCTTATAATCTTATGACTCGTTAAGGTTGTAAATTGGCTCTTCCAAGTTTGTTTTCTGTGAATGTCTCGTAGAAGGTCATAGAGTACAGTTGGAATGTTGCAATCAAAGATTTAGAGCTGAAAAAGTAATCTGGTTTTGAACAAAGGGGTATTACCATGGGTTTCTCATGCAAACCTTTGGGGCCTTTCAAGGCCTGCTTTTAATTCAACCTTTTTCTTGAGCCAGGCCCGTGTCCTCTTACGAGTTTGTCCAAATACAAATGAGTCAAACACACATTTGAGAGAAGGAGAGAATGTAGTAAATAACAGATTTTTTAAAATTAAATTAAGTAAATAATATATTTTAAAATTAATAAAAAGATTTTTGTGCACGTAAATTTTATTTTTATGACTGGTCAAAAGATTTTTTTATCATGTAAATTATTTTTTTTACCAATCATAAATGAACTATTTACGTGAAAATTTTTTATTTATTTTACATAGTTTTAAAATATGTTATTTATTTAATTTACTTTCAAGAATTTACTATTTGCTACAATTTCCCTTCACATTATATGTAGTAAGCTAAATTACAAGATAAATATAGGAAGAAATACAAAAATACTACTTGAACGGTGTGATCTTTATAATAATATCACCTAATGGTATAAATTTAACATCTGTATCACTCAATTTACCAGAAAATATCCTTATAGAATATTTTTAATATCCTATGAGATTAACTTTTCTTCTCAACAAAGATGAGCGGGCATCTTCGGCTCCGGTTTTTAGAGAGTATTTTGGTAAAATGTAAAAAAAAAATAGATAACATAAATATGAAATTCTTAAATTTTAGTGGCATACTATGTTATTTTCTAAAAAATATATAAGATGGTTGAATGAGATATCCAAATTTTGGGAGGTAATTACAAAAGAGAAAATTAAGGAATCTTTATCCCTAACTCCCTTCTTCTGTTCTCACTTCTTTTGTTTTAGGTGAGTTTGCTGGGTTTGTATTCAAAGATACAATTTCTACATGAATGTAAAATACCATTTTAAGATAATGTGAAAGAACAAAATATCCAGTTTGGATTTCATTTGTTTCTCGTTTTCTCGTTTTCTTAACCATAAATCGGAGCTTGTCATCTTGGCAAGGCCTTGTTTTCTTCTCCCTTCCCACAAGGCATGCGTGGATTTCCTCCCTTCGTGTGAGGTTGAACTTGATCACCTCAATATGCAAGACACCAATGCCGGCCTCCTTCCTCCGCACGACACTACCATCGTTCGAAATTGATTATGAAAATCAAGACATTCCCGGGAAGAGATACAAAATGCATTCTACTTGTCAGCTTAATTTTAATACATTGGATTTTTTTTCAGGGTAAAGGTTCAAACTCTAACCACTAGGCTATACGTGCAACCACATTGGGGTCTCGTTCGCTTTGCGGATTTGAGTTTTCAATTCGAGTTGAGATGTTACAGTTTCTGAGAGCTTTTAAATGTAGCAGAAAAAGTTAGATGTGATATTTTTTGAGAGCTTTTAACTGTAAAAATTTAGAACTGAAAACTCAAATCGGCGAAATGAACGGAGCCTAGATAGTTGCAAATTGCAATCAAGATTTAGAGTTGAAAAGAAAATCCATTTTCAAACAAAAGCGGTACAACTATGGGCGTCTCATGCAAACTTGTAGTGTATTTCCAAGGCCTACTTTTTAATTCAGCCTCTCTCTTGATTCAAGCCGTGTTCTCTTACCACCTCATTTTTAATGAATATGAGCCAACACACATTATGTATAAAACTATACATTACTTGAAACTATATTAGATGATTTAGGGAGATGTTCGAATTTTAGGAGGTAATTATAAAAGAAAAAATTAAAAAATTACTAATCTATCTCCCTAACCCACTTATTTAGTTTTGGGGTCATGAGTTTGTGAAGTACCACTTCTATAGGGCTTGTACAATTTCTATACAATACCATTGGACATATGTTGGTAAATTAATGATATATTCATCAATTATTTCCAGTACTAATCAATAGTTTACTGTAACACCTATTTTTCTAAACCGATAAAATTCTTAGAAGTAGATGTTAGGAGTTAACTTGAATAATGTTATAGTGTTATATATAGTTAATTCTAACATTACATTGAGTTATATTTTACAGGTGAACGCGGCGAGGACTCGAGGCGCTAAGAACAAGTTCATGCCATGTTATAGAAATTATATATATATGTTCAATTTTTTTTAATGATTTGATAAATGAATATATGTTTATGATATGATGTACTTCATGTTATAATGCATGGAATTAAGTGTTTTAGGAAAATTCTAAGTTTTTCCTTAGTTTTTCGTTTTAGACAAAAGAACAATTTCCATGAAGTTAATTTCCAGCTCTATTTTGGACTTTTAAAATTCTGAAATTATTCCATAGTCTATACAAAGTTGTAGAGCATTTCATGCTTTTCAACGCCTTCTCATTTGCGCAAATTGGACATCGGAGTAAGAAGATGTGGCCAGTATACCATCAGGATACCCAGCAGTCTCCGACCAGGTTACTGCACGCGAACAAGAATGGAAATTCTAGAAGTTGAATGTTTTAGGAACATATTTTAGGGCTGGTTAAATTATACATACGTTTGGAATTGATTTTATCTTTAATGAATTTATTTTGGTATTTTCGGAATTTACTGTGCTGGAATTTTCCGGCCAATATAATCTGAGTTTAAAACAGTGTTTGAGGGACCAAACGAACTCTGTTTTTAGTAAATTAGATACCGTTGGAAAGCTCTAGATGTCTACTTTAATGTAAAATTAGTTTCAGGTCATTTAGAGTTCTATGTAAATTATTATGAGTTCTTA